TCCAGGGGAAAAGTGGAGCTTGCTTTGTCCATGGCCCCTGTTACACAGCCACAGTGTCTCTGCTCCTTCAGCCTCAAGGTTCCTTTCAGGAGGATGACCTCTGTGCTAACCCTGTGCAGATGCTTCAGCACTTTCCTGGGGAGGGCACTCTACATTGCTGCAGTTTGGCAACCAGAGGTGAATTATACATCAGTCAAACAGAAAGTTATCTGCATTCCTCACAGACTACCAGGAGGTTACCTTGAAAGCCAGCTTGTAGCTGTAGTGATATACGTACCTCAAGCATCTGTCATTTCATGATAATGGAATATGTGCTCTTACACATCACTAACTGTCATGAGTTAACTTCCCCTCCCTCCTCTACCTGTAACTGCATCATGAAGTTTCCCTTAGGCAGAACCAGCACTGACAAAGGCAGTTAACACAGTATGTATTTTCGACTGTGGTTTCCCTTTCATTTGTACCTCACTTTTATACCCACCTGTCCTTAAGCATGTGAAGTACACCTGTAGCTGACATAGCTGATAAAGCTGTGTCCTTACATAGGTTTGCAAGACCACTGCAAAAAAGGACAGAACAACACCATGTTAGGAGAAAAAGCTGGAGAAAGAAAAAAGAAAGTAAACATGAGAAAATGAGGGAAAGTAGAAAAATATGAACTGTTACAATCTATAGGCACCAGGAGTTTGGGTCTGATGAGAGCAGGAGAGAAAGAAGAAAAGAAAGAGAAGCTGAAGCCTACGAAAAGAAGAGTAGTTTAGTAACAATATCTGACAAGACCAAAACCAAGATGGTTAAAAACCAAAAGGCTCAAGTAAGGACATCTTTTGGGCTTCGTAAGGTAACTCTTCCAGAATGTTATAGGTTAGTTTTAGAGCTTTTGGATTAAAACAGTTTTACTGGAGTTAAAAGCAGAATCAGCTTCTTAGCTCAGAAGAAAATTTCCATTCAGGAAATTCATAATCACAGCTTTCAGTACCAATCAAGACAAGAAGATGGAATTGTTTTCATTTTCTTTTTTAACTGCACAAGAAGCCAGTAGGAGGAAGGGCTGATTACTCCACATAGGTATAAATTGTGGGCTGCATCCGCCCTAACAGCACTATGGCTGCACTTTGTTCTAAGCAACCAATAAAGAAGCCACAGTTAATGATGAGGTCACATTCAAAACTGCTAAATTCTGTATGGCCTTTCCATATCATCAGACTACATCACTAGAAAAGGATTTTTATGAATTACTCTGCAACTGCAAGCTGTTCTAAATAATCTAGAAATAACTAGAAATAACCAAGAATAATCTAGAAATAATCATGTTTTATACAGATGGCACAGCTTTCTCATTAAGATACAATCCACTTACATTCATTTAAAAATAAGTTTCAAGTTTTAGCCAGCTTTATCAAATTCTCACTCTTTTTTCATGTGTATAGATTCCACTCACCTATTCTGCCAGGTTCAGATAGTTTAGTTCAATATTCAGTTTAATTTGGTTCCTTCTGGGAAGCCTAAACAACTGTGTATTTGGCTCTATGGGTTTATTTTGTCAACAGCTCTGATACTTTTAATCCTCCTATTGCAATGTCCATTTTCTAGAGAACTGAAATTCAGTGAGTTTTCCATTGCCAAAGGTAAGATACTATTATGCCCAACAGAGGATGAAATATGGACTTAGGGAAATCAACAATGTCAGATGTCTTGAAAAAGAATTGGTAGAATTAGAGGGAAGAGAATGAGAAGGAGCGCATACAGCTAAAGTGATCAATGGTTTGCAGCAGTTCAACTTAAAAGGAGAGACCAAAAAGTCTATATCAATCTGGAGAGAAGATCAAGGGGGAATGCAATCAGGATTCCCAAAAGGATGAAGGGAGTGTGAAAAATTAATGTAGAAAGTTTATTTGCAAAAATTCTGAAATTTTCAGTCTCTTATGAGGCACTGAACGAACATGTAATACAAACCAGCTGAAGTACTTCTATACACAGAACAGTCAGTATAATTCCTGGCCTAGCTGCCACAGTAGATGGTAAGGACATAATGTACCAGCAGGTTCAGAAAGGGATTATGCAAATTCATGGACAATATGTCCAAAAGTGGATCATTATTGATGGGATATACACACCGATATCCCAATATAGCAACTGCAGATGCTGGGCAGTCTGAGGAGAATGGACCATAGTAAGTGGCCACGTTCATGTGCACACCCTAAGTAGAGTGTCTCTTCTTGCAACAGCTGGAGCCACAGAGGTCCTCTGATCCTCTAAGGTATTTCTTATCTTCTCTAGATGACCTTAAGAAATCAGTTATTTAATCATTCACTAAGAAAATGTTACCTGACTTGTATACCAAAAACTTCAAGAGAGCTGCACACAGGTCAGATTTTTTTTGTGATGATAGAGAAGAGCTGTATGGAAATGCCAGAATGTATTAACCTGCATTGTATATAGTTTAGGAAAGCATAAATAGTTGTGATGCTAGAGAGGAGCAGTATGGAAATGCCAGAATGCATTAACCTGCATTGTATATAGTTTAGGAAAGCATATATAGAAGAATGGTATTTCTGTATTTAATTTGGAAGATCTGATCAACAGTGTTACTCACGCTTATCCAGAATACAATGCAGCGGTATATACACAAAGACTTTCTCACAATTCAGTAATTGTCCTAGCTGCAGAAGTCATATAGAATAGAAGCCTCACATGGAAAACTATTACTGCACCAAACCAGAATGCAAACTTTGAGATTATTTTTTTTCAGACATAACATTGGGAAAACCATCACCATCCTTTCTGCGAGCAGCAAGCATAGCAAGTTTCCTGAACAAAAGTGCTTTCAAGAAAAGTTCTCCTAAAACCACAAGGAGCATAGAAATACATCTGAAGCAATGCATCTTAAATTTTTCAGGCTATATTATAAAACAGCTGCACAAATGTTAGCATATGAAAAAAAAAAAGAATTTTGGCCAATTAGCATGCAAAACATCATGTAAAAGCTCCACTGGTGTCATTTTTTGTTTCAGTCAGAAAAACTCAAATTTCAGTTGCAACTGTTCTGGGGTATTTTATGGCAATCCACTTGCGAAAAGTTTAGATCTACTTCACTTTCATTGAAAAAGATTTTCTAAAATGAAACATCTGGCTAAAAGAAGAGGAGGAGTTTTGGAATTGCTGGGCTTCAAAAATCTTACATGTATGAACCTATGGTGAAACACATATCAAAAGAAAAAAATTAAGGGAAAAAATTGTCATGAGCTTAATCCTGCCAGAAGGACAATTGTTTTTCTTCTGAAACAGAAGTTTTACAGCAACTTCTAGAGGATTTTCAAAAGTAAAACTTATTTCACTTAACCAGAGAACATAAAACACTGATTGATGTCTATCCAGATTTCCACAGTGTATTTATTTTCATACACTGCTTCATTCTATTGCTATGAATGGCAAATACTAATGAAAGATTTTTCTTTTAATATCATGCCATTGTGATTAGACCCCAAATATGCTGACCATTTTATCAACAAGATTTTGGCTATGTATAAATTAAGGGAGACCTTTTAATAAGAAGAAAATTATTCTGGTTTCACAATACCTCCATTCCTTGGGTGCTCACAGGTGGAAGCAGGTAAGAAGGGACTTTAGCACAGGTAATTTTGAGCAAGTTATAAGCACTAGTTGTGATGTGAAATATTTTGCTCATTGGGAAGTTAAAATGCATGGTCCATTCAAATGCATTCAGTAGTACACCTTTGTACTATTAATTGGTGAAAAATGAATGTTATATATAACACATATCACTATAAGACACCATGTGAAAATCTGAAAATCCATGACATTTGGAATAAATGTTGGTACTGCGGAGAAGCTTCTAGCTCTGGACAGTGATTTGCTAGTCTTTCAGAGGGATAACGACAGATGACTTCTAGTGCAGCTTTAATGCCTTCACTTCCAAAACAGTAAGGATTTGTTAAATTTTGTGGCCTTCTAGAAAGGGTAGATACTCCCACAGCATCAAGGAATCAAAAGTAAAATCTCATGTAATTTCTGTACACTCCTTAAAACATTGCCATCCAAGCTCTAACCAAAGGGGGGTAACTTAGGATCAAGCAAAAAAAAAAAATCATGAAGCTCCTCCATAAGGCTTTAGGGTCATGCTATCAGCTTAACACACAGAAAAACATACCTCTAATAAACTGATATAGCTCCATAATAAAACTAGTTAGTTCTTCTTATTCCATCCCGCTCTACTTGTTCCAGAACCTGGATCTTGTGTTAGAAACCTAAACTGCAGCTCAAATTTCCTCAAGGCCAGTTTATATAATTTTTTTTGTGTTTAATTGTTATCTTTTAAATAGCACTGCTTTTCTGGTATTTTCTCACATGGATATATTTATAAGTTACATCTCAGATTTCATTTGCAAGGCTAAATAAACCACTGCCAATTTAGTTTCTTCTCACAGATAAGCTTATCATTCCCATGATCCTGGTAACTTCTGCAGCTTGAGTTCTCTTTCTTTTTTCAACAAGGAAATTGGAGCAGTACATGGTATTCAGATACAGCTTTATCATGCCTTGTCAGGCCCAACTTCCTTATTTCAACTGGGAAGATTTGGTCAATCTCAAATTCCATTTGCCCTTTTGCGTCTAGAACATACTGCTGACTACTGTGGTCACCAAATATACTCAAGTCTTTCTCCTGTTTTTTCCAAACAATGAGCTTCCAGTTTATACCAGAAATTGCCATTAATCGCAAAGTGCATAACTTTGCACTTCCTTCCATTAACTTTCATTCTGTAACTGTTCCTATTATTCCAAATCTAGAGGTCATCCATTTCTTCCTGTAAGATATTCCTTCACTTTCTGCATTAGCAATGGGTCCCAACTGTATATCATCATCAAATTCCCTGTCTTGCTATGCCAAAGACATTCATAAAAGTATAAAACATACCCATACCCAATGACTAATCACCAAGTAACTTCATTTGCCACCTTCCTTCCCACCCACTACTCCCCCTCTCAACAAAACCCACTCTCTTCTTCACGTAGTTCTTACCCTCAGTGTCCATACAAATCCCAGCCTCCTACAGCTAACATCAGGACTTCCCTGTTGCTCTTTAGCAAAAGTTTTGCTGCAAAACATCTAGTACACATACACTTTCTGTAGGCAACCTATTGTTTTAAATACCTGTTTGCCCAGGTATTCACGATCTAACTTTGGCAAGCACATCTCATATGTTATCACTTTTTTTTTTTATAATCTCCATTTTTAATTACATTTTGACTTTAACATCTGTTCTAAGCCTTGAAAGTACATTATATCCACTACAGGAAACAGTATGGAGTGGCACACAGATTCAGATCCTGAATTCTACCTAGTCTTGAATATTTTAAGATCATATTTCTTCCTCATTCTTTTTCTGCCAGTGAGTTGGAAGCAGAGCGTATTACACACAGATTGGTTGGTACTTTTTAATTCTAGGTCATTTGATTGAAATCTTTACTAGAAAGAGATGACAGATAAGAAACAGCTTCAACACAGTAGGAAACAAAACAAAATAACATTTTAGTTGAAAAGAGATAACTTGAAGGAATAGGGGGAATGACCAGTCATTATTTTTTACAGTAAAAGAATAAAGGAGAAGTACCATGTAAAATGACATAAGACAGAAGAATTTGTTACCATAGGATATGTGGAAGTCAAAAATGAGAATGTCTTATGAAAGGGATTTGATCAGTTCATGGAAGATAAATACACCTAAACATCATAACCCAGCACAAGATATTCTTAAGCTGCCAGTTTCCAGAATTCAGAGGGTTTATACCTGACTTTTTCAGAAACAGCGACTGTTGGTACTTCATTAAATGCATGGTTGGTCTGACACTGTGATTTTCGTTCTAAAACATGATTGGACAGAACATCTAATACAGCTACTTCATTTAATGATCTTCAACTATATCATTCATGGCACTGATTAGAATTCAGGCCCCTTCATCAATACACAGAGAATATCCCTTAGAAATTAATGGAACATATTTCCATACTCTATTCATCCTCCCACACAGAATTCCAGAAGACTCTACAATCCTATTTTATCATGCTTCTCAACAATTTACTCAGTTCTCTGCTGAAGTAAACTTGGTCCCATACCTTTCTTAAACAGCACAGAAAGTATTTCTTACCTTTAACTTTTATATTACTTGAAACTCTGTAATAACAAAACATAAATAACTAGTCATGTATTGAAAACCATGAGATAAATTTCATATGAAACCTTAGCACTTAGACATACTCAAATGAAGTACTTCATGTCCAATACAAACTCTATCTGACAGTATACCTGTAAGATCCAACACACTCTAGAGGTCAAACTCAGCCAAAAATGTGTTTCCTGATGAAGCATAAGACAAAGTCACAGCCCCAGAAGGAGGCTGTGGGTGGAAGAGAGATCGGGGCTGAATCATTCTTCTCCCAAAGTCAAGAAATTGTTTTGGCTTCTTCTTTGCTGAGGTCATTTTGTGTCTGCACAGATAATAATAAATAAATACATTGTAATCACTGTACTGAAGTTATTTGGGCTTTTGCAGAAAGCAAGGCTGGGAAAATAAGCTGGCAACTTTTTTGATGTGTCGCATGCCCAACTAAAACAAGCTTAATTACTATTTCCCTTATTCATCTATACTTGAAAAAAAAAGGAACTAACCACAGCTGGCATTAAACCCATAGTGTGTGGGAAGCTGTATAACATATCCACTTGGCAGATCATTCACAGGCTGGTCACAAAACTGACAAAGCAAATCCTACCCCAACACACCCTTGGCAATCAGTTCTCTTTCTGCTTATTTTTCTGTCTTAAATTAGTGTTCCAAATCCTATACTGCTAGCTACAACCTGCTAATTTTGTGTCATAGTTATGAACACAATACAATCATTAGAGGGTTTCTCCAGATGAGCCACCACAAAAATAAACCCCCCATTTTATTTTGCTTTGTCTTTCCTGAAAGGAGAAGTTTTTGATGTGGCACCTAAATTTGGATATCTACAGACTAGTGCAGCAAGCTACCTCTAATATCCCAGCTCCCTCTATAAATGTTAAACATTTTGGAGCTTCTATAGAAAAATGCCAAGGTTCAAAATACTAGAAATAATACCATGATACTTCCTGAAGTGGACCTTGTAAAGTCAATTCACCCTGGTGCAGCACCTTATGAATACATGCTATACAAGCAATACATACCTCAGGCTTCACACCATTTTATTGACAGTTTTTTGCCATTTCATCTGTACATTTATTTAAGTAGACTACTTAAATTAAAAATATACAGTATGCTGCTTTTCCTTTTTTAAGTTCTCAAAAGTTCTGTAGATCTCAGCCTTGTACCCAAGCCTTACAGGGAAAACAGACAAAGAAAGGAGACATAAGGAACCCAATTCACTTCAGTCATGAATGCACAACTTCTAAACAGTCAATGACTTTAATTTGACCTGCTTCAACACAAACCACTGAAAGCACCCAGATCTTCCACATACACAGAAAATAAAGTTTTGGCCGTCTTAACAGGAAAAACATCAACAAATGGAGTGAATGGGATAAAAACCTTTGTAACAGTATTGCCAGAATTAGAGGACTCCACATTCAAAGTTGACAAAAGATATTCTTAAGGAAAAAAACCATTCTTAAATCTTCCCTAGGGATGGTGGCACATCTCTAAGGATATCTATGAAAAAGCCCCCAAATCAATCTCTATTCACTTGTTTAACATGGCACTTCTTTGTTGCTGATGCCAATCAAAGATGCCAATTTACTTAACAGAAAGTACTTTAAGTTATCTTAGTAACATGACTGAATATTAACTATCACAACTACTACTTGAGGTCCACATCATGAATAGGAGTCAGGACATGGACCTTAGTACCTAAAGACCAAACAAGGCCAGGACCCCTTCTTCTAAGTACTGCCAAAGCCTGCATACAGTGAAGGAGTTTAAGACAACAGCACAGACTCAGGGAGGGATGGCACATACAAACAAGCAGAATGAGCAACATCAGACCACTCACAGTCATATTAGTTCTATATTTATGTATTTAATTTTAATGAGTAAGATAGTATGGCACTACCAGGACATACTATCTTACCAGGAGCCTAGCTAGCTGTAGTGAAAATGAGCTGTCTTTAATTTCCCATTCTTACTAAGCAGAAAACCCTGAGCACTACAAATATATATCTGCCACCTATGAGATTTTGCAAAGTTTTAAGAGGCAGGAACAATATATTTCACAACATGGGTTATGCTGTGAAGTTCCAGCTTCCCTGAAGTCCACAGCAAAATTCCCATTGACTCAAGCAGAGCCAGGACTTCCTATCAGTTCCCAAGAGGTCAGCTGTGCTGAGAACTGTGAGCTGTGTGCATTGAAAGAGCGAGTATCACCAACTCTTCAGCTTGCACTCACTCTTGTGATAGTTTTTGCATGTGGTAAGTTTAGCTTTGCATGCTTTACAGATCAAGAAGCCACCACGGCATTCCAGTTTTGGTTTATTTATTTCATGCAATAACAAGGCACGCTTAGATTCCATTTTCCAACCAAAAGTGCTGCAGGGATGGAAATTAGATAAAGCCTCATAATTCATCTGGTCTCCTACTCCCACCGCCACCACCTAGCTCTCTTTGTAATTACCCATTTGTTGCAGCTCAGTTACTAAAACTTTTCCCTGCTCCAAACAAGCTTCAAACCTTATTTCTTTCAGCTTCAGTTACACATTATCAACAGAGCTTAAACTGTCTTTGCCTTACTGATGCATGTAAGGAATCTGAAGACAAGTTTAGATTTGGATGAATTGCTGTCCCCATAGAGACGGCAGTTTACCAAAGAAAGACACTGCAGTTAGTTCTTTGGCAGCACTGCTCCTGATAGCTACCACCATCAGATCCTCTGGCCTCCAGGGAGGGTAACCAAAGCAGAGGAGACTAAGATAATCTGCATAGATGGATAGAGTTTGAGCTGTAGGAATTTTTGCATGTTTGGCTTGCACAGGTTCTTGGGAAATTTTCCTGTTTTTTCCATGTACGTGTTTTTCTACTCCCTGAATTTCACTTTGAGTTTCAGGTTTGAACAAGAATGTTAAAAGTTAAAATTGAAACTCACTTGAAAACATCAGGTTTCATTTGAAAAACCGTAAGGGGGCTTTAAGTCATTTGGAAGGTCCAAATTAAGGAATTTAAGTGAAACTTTGAACAGACAGTTTTATATTTAAATGCAGAGCAAAACTTGAAGGCAGGAAAGTGTTGTATGGTTCTGTAAGAAACATTTCATGCAATGGTTCTCCTGGGCTTACACTTGGTGCATGTGGAGAAATGTTCTCTCTGCACTCTCCTAAGATGTTGCAATACTCTAATATCCCAGATTATTTTTTCTTTAAGCCTTTCCTTAATCTCTCTCGTCCTTACTCTTTCTGGAGCAGAACCAGCACCAAAACCTTTGGGCAATGAACTTTTATAGTAATTCCACAGAAATCTCTTCTCTTATTTTAGGACCTAAGGGTTTCCCTGCTCATGGTTATGCACCATCTGTCATTATCTACAAAGACTAAAATGCCAAGGATGGCCTTCAGCTGTCAGCTCTGCCCCTCTGAACAGGGTGTTACAGGATGTCTCATTCAACATTTGCAGTCACAGGAGAGGGAAGATTCTTTCGTTCAGAGCAGGGAATAGCCTCCACAGCTGCAGAACACAGGAGGCCCAAGAAACTTCCTAAGGCCAGCAGCTGTGGAAGCAAATTTTGGCTGGATTGGTCCATTATTGTTGATGTACATAAGGCCTGAAAATCAGTATCAGGAAAGAGTGCACATGCAGAAAGACTCACTGTTTTTTCATATTTAGCTAAGTAACTGTATAATACTTAAAAATCTTGCTTTATTGCTGTGCTAAATATTGCCAGTATTAATAAAAACTTGCAGCAGGTCTTTGAGTGAAGTTATATTTAAAGGAAAGCTCAGACCTTCCACCACCTCCCTTTTCAAATAAACCATTCCACCAGCACAGTAACAATGACTTGAAGAAGTTGCCACACAACAAAGTTAAACTAAGTCAGACATCTCTTCTTTCATACAGTAGTATATATGAAGTTGGGAACATTCAATTTTTACTCTTACTGTGAATTAAGCACCAACTACTTAACATCCTATATTACCCAGCAATATAGCTGCATGCCCAATCTCATTGTAAAAGTGCATCCTTCAGAAGCTTCCTAGGTGACCTACATGAAGACAACAAAACCTAACGCTGTGTTCAGCACTGCATTATTTTAGACAGTCTGGCTTTGTCATTATGCACAACCTAAAGATGGGGAGATTTCCTGTCACTCTGCTGCCAAATTGCTTAAGCCTTCTTGTAAACATTATTTTTGCACCTTGCTTTCAACTCTCGTAACATGGAAGCAACTCTTGGCTAACTTTACACAGATGTGTGTTTAGCTCGTGACCCTCTGATATTCTCAGATGTAAATTCAGAACATTATTAGTAATACACATAATCCCAGCAAGGGCTAGGAAGACACAATCTTTTCATTTCCTTCCAGTTTCAGTGTGAACTGGAGTGACAAAGACTGCCCCTCCAAATCTAATGTTCTGCAAAGCAGTGGCAGATTCAGCATTCTCTACTTCGTACCTTGCAAACCAAGCCAAAACCTTAGAAACTGAGACTTGCTCAACTGCTGAACAAGGGGCAGAAACACATCCATTCATCAAGGAGAGCCAAAGAAGGAGTCAGAGAAAGCCAAAGCCACCAGTTTCCTCCTGCTGGCTATGCAACTAAGAAAGGAGCTCAAAACAATGGAGGCAACAGAATAGCATTACACTGGGGTCATTTGGTTTAGTTCCCAAATGGCTGCAAACAGATGCCTCTAAGTAAAATCTCCACATCACTGCTGCCTCATCACCCTGGAGCCACATACCCCATACTCAGTTTGGCAAACTGCTTCTCCTTGTCTGCTTAATCTACTCAGGCTGAGACACAGACAGCAATGGGCCTATGTGGGGGGCCCACAGACCCCCAGTGTTTTGGACCCATCCCTAGAACTGGTAATTATTCCTTTGGCAGTGCTTGGCTGCCAGAGAGCAACTCCCAGCCCACCCCTGTGGGGTTATGAGAAAAGTGCAGCTGAGAAAAGGACTGACATAGAATGGGTCAACTGATAAGCAGTAAAAAAAATCAAAGACCACTTGATAAGCACAGGAATAGAAGACAGTGAGGCAGGAAAGGACACTGGAGGACACTAAAATGGACAGATCACAGGAAAGGACAGAGAATTTGGGCAACAAGAACATAAGCGGAACACTATGACATGGTGGCTCCCAGTCTATGACTTGAAGGCAACAGACTGTAATGTTGCTTTGACACAGGAAATGAAAATATTCTGAGGACAACATGGAAAACAAAATACGGTGTTGCCAGCAGCTTGATACTGTCACTCAATGTGACTGATAAGCCAGCACAGGTTGAGAAGCTCAGCTCTACCTCCCTTAGCTAGAAGTTAAAATCATTCCACCCAATTCCCCTCCAAATTATTATTAACATTTTTTTTTCGTGGCTCCATCTCTGGTTAAAGGAATTTGGCTTTGGAGCTGGTCAGCTCTAGCTGGCTACATGTGTGGGAACACACTGTAGCCAGGATAAAATTATCACAGCCCATTTCCCTGCAGACAGGTGAATACCACATAAAATGTCCCCAGCACTGCCTGTGGCTGAGCAGTTCTCTCATCCTTAGTGCTGCTCATCTTGGTACCTTGCCAATGAGATAGTGACAGGCACATGGAGAGATGGTCAATGCTACTTTCTGGGCTGATCCTGTTTCCGAGGGTATAATTTTAAGTTGCAAAAGTGCAAATCTGCCACGCTTCAGAAGTTCCCAATATATCACAAAAAATTAGGCTCCTGCTGGAAATCAGATGAAGGAAAAGACCCTCCTGTGAGAACCAGAGGATTATAAAATTTGTTCATTTCTAACCAAATAAAGCCTGGATTGGTTATTCTCTGCTCCCCATTTCACATACATGGTGACTTTGAAATATTTCTGTTTATTTTATAATATGCAGCAAAATGAATGCTTCTTACATGCAGAAATAAACATCCCTTTTCCTCCCTTACACACACACACACACACACACACACACATGCACACATACACACAATTTCTAGTAAGAAACTTCCACATCCTTCCTTTGTGGTTGTGAATTCTTCTGGAACTGACACAATGCCCAACAGAGCCAACAGAACACTTGCCATTGCTTTCAGTCAGAATATGATTGTGCCCCTTTCCTGTAGCAGGCAGAGAGTTAATTGAACAGAGTTTGAAGATGTATTGTAGGAGACAGGAGTAAATCAAATTATATGAAAACATTCCCACGGTTTTGATTTACTTCACAGAATGAAGCAAAATATTAGACATCTTATATTACTTCATGGTTGCCTGGAGGGCAAATATGAGGTAAAGGTTCAGAAAAATCTAAAAATGTAGCAATAAGCCTCCTTCTACTAAGTTCTGTATAAGTTCTGCATTACTGAGAATACAGTATTATTCTAAGATGCTGAATAGCAGCCTCTAATCCTGTTTCAGAGGGCAATAGATTCCACTGGTTTAAATGGGCTATTCCTTTGCAAAACTGTAAGTGGAAAACGAGCTGTAATTGTAAACAGGACTCTCGAAGTGGTAAATTGAGCAAGATTGTAGCGTTGCTGACATCTACTGAGAGAAAGTGAAACCGCACATCTTAGAAAAGGGATGAGGGGAGACTTGCGCCTTACTTGGGGTTTTTTTCATTTTAATTTTCAAGCTCATTTTATGCATGCTTGCATATTTATTACTTACCTTGTATCAATATTCCACTGCTTCATTTAAGGTCCGCAAGTCAACAAAGACATTAAAGGGAACTTTTAGAAAGAAATATAAGGGACATTCAGGAGATGGCTTTATCCCTTAAATACTGAAGATTTATTCTTAGACTTGAAGAAGCCTGAATGCCCAGATTGACACACAGTATGAGGAGGCACACCTAGCTCATACCGACTGCACATAAAACCCTTAAATTTTGGCATCTGAAGCCAAAATCTACATAGTACAGAACACTGGATTTAGGAAACCATACTGCACAAGTGATATTGAAAAAGTATATATCATTTGTTTCCTATAGGAAATGGATAATTCAGCTAAACTATGGCAGGAACAAAAACATCACCACTAAGAGAATGGTACTCAAAATAACAATTCAGAGAGACTTTCTGATCTGTGTATTTGTTGTTACCGTGGCACATGGCAGTTACACCATTCAGGCAATCCCAAGAGAAGTTTTTGCTGGTATCTCATGCATTATAAAGTGCGCTTTTTCCCCATGCTGCAGAGAGAAGAATTCACAGCCATCCTTACAGCTGCAGAACAATAACCATTACCACAAATCTCACGTCTACAGATTTCATTCTAGAAAGTTAACAGGAAAGGTCTGTGTATCTCAGCTTGGGTAACAGCAAAACTAATGGGCAGGGGAAAGAAACAATACATAAAATTGTAATAGAGTTGGAATAAGTCAGGGTGACAATGATTGTGAGTGGATTTGTGTTTCACCACTTCTGAGCAACCTTCTCATCACTGAAGTTACACTGAATTTACAGAATTATAAATAAAAAATGATTTGGCCAATAAATATTTGTAACATAGAGCAGCACTATCAAGAAAGCATCTTTATGTAATTAGAGAATGCTTTTTGTAATAAGAGAAGCATCCAAAGTCAAAATTAAGTATCACATTACCAGATCTGATCTGTGATGAAGTTGTTATGAAATGCCTCTCTTACCTTGACAGGGACAGGATTTCAGTGTCTGTATGAGCTTTTCACATTTGTTTCTGCAGATTCTGAAATGAATATAAATGTGAGATCTTTGGCTCATGTTTCTGACGTATAAAATATCCCCAGTAGTAATTCTTGGTCACACAGGGCAATACCCCAGCTTTTTTAAGTGAGTAGGTCCAATAGATAAAACTGATACACATGCAGCTCCCACTTAACTTCTGCTTTGAGTATCACACATAGGTTAAAAACTGCAGTGCAGTGCTGAAAAACCTCTCCTAGTTGCTCTCTAACTGAGAATAACTCATTTCCGTTTATGGTGTAGATATCACCTTATAGTTTTCTTGGTACCTAAAGCTTGGCTTTTACATGCATTCTGACATGCCATAACCTTAGGAGGACTATGCAACTCAGCACTTATCACACCAGGGTCCTTCAGGATTCGTGCAGTCATCACTTGTGTCGGATGCAGCATACATTCTTATTGCTCATATTGGCCTCCTTAGAAAAAGTAGTTGCAGCTTTGCCTTTCATTCTGGAGTAGGAAAAGGTGGGTAATATAGCTTGTCCACCACAGCAATCCTTCAAAGAGCAACTAGAACCTAATCTTTCCCTTCCATGTGTTAGACAGGTTAGAAACCCAGGCTATGTTCTCCCTCTCCCCATGCCTTGTTAAACTGGATAACAGCTTCCCCAGGGGAGATAAGCTTATACCAGCACAGAATAGTTTGCAGGCCTGTGGCTAATTAATTCTTCAGAGACATACAAGACTTGAAGAAAATAGGTGCTCTGCAGTAAAGAGATTTAATTACAGCTGAATTCTACAATCACCTAATCATTGGATGGTGTGATTTCAGAGAAACGACAGCCACCTAACTTCTGAAAAGAAATTCCTAGGAACCTGTTCTCCTGTGAGACAGCAAATCCAAAGTACCCGTAGGTGCTTCCCTACTGGCTCTCTTTTTGCTTTCTGGTCTGATCTTTATCTTTCAGAGGGGGCTTCTCATGTGTTGTATAAGAAGCCTTGGCACTTAACTCTTGGCTGTACCTTCCACTCTGTGCTCAACTGAAAACTGCACAGCACAGTGCTCGGCACTGTAACATCTTAAGTCTCAGAAAAATCTCTTCATGAAATGCCATTTATACGCTCATACCAATGCACTTTCAATAGGCATTTAGGAGGGTTAAGTATCTAGGCAAGCTAAAATCCCACAGCCTGGTACTTGGATGGAGTTTAAATACAGTGTTGTATTTAAAAATACACATCAGAAATAAAGATGAGAGAGCAGATACAGTTGAACTGTTCCTGAACAGAAATAATTTCCTTATTTTATTATAAATCTATTTCTGATTGCCTAAAAAGAATGTTGAAACATTTGGCTTTCTAGAAATAACTTGGTTCCAAAGACGACTCTCTGAAAAGGCTCATTCTGGCTTGCACTCACTGAAAACCAAAGCACTCAAATTAATATCAACATTTTGGCAATTCTAATAACAGAGACTGCCAAAAGTATGTTGTCTATCAAACGTACACGGAAGAAAGATGTTAGAATATTAAGAACAGATGTCACAGATATCTTCGAAAATACTCATGCTCCCTAAGTACTCTGCAATGCAAGATGTATAAAAGCTCACGAAAGATGAAATTAATGCATTCTGCCCAAATGCTTCCAAATGCTGTATATGTAAGCTTACTTATAAAATATGTCCATTTGAAGATGTTAAAAATGAGGATCGTGTCATAATTTGATAATGGCCTTGTATCTCATGATTTAGAGCTTTAACAGTTCAATAACATGACTACTTTTTATAGTCTGTTATTGAGTATTCATTTACTTACATTTTAATCATTATTCTAGTGGAAAAGTTTACAAAAATCTCCTGTTAGAAAAAATTCTAAACTTGATGAAAGTAATCTTTACATAAAAGTAGCTTAGCACCTAAAATTAAAAGATGACTTAGAAAACCTAAATACCTTGACAGTTTATTTGAGCAGGCACAGAACATGCTTTCATCCTCTGCTCCAGTTATTTTCAGTATTGACAATTCCAAACAGTAAAAATTAAGCCAGCTTCCAAACAGAAAAATCACAGGGATGGGCTGATTTACTTATTTATTTAGTTGTGAACATAGGAAGCACTGGATTCTTTTTAACTGACAAAATTAAAGATTTTACCCCTAGATCTGATGTTCCCGTATCTCAGGCATAGAAAATCATCTTACACAAATGAAGCCAAAACTTTCATATATGACAAATTCAGGCAATGGAGTGTTAAAACAAAAAACAAACCACTCCTAAAACAACCTTAAGGAGTTCTATCAAATATGCCACCAACTTGTATTCATTTGAGCAAGCAGAGCCGCACACCACTAGCATTTATTTTAATTCTAAACGCGTGCGCTCGCTAAACTAAAATTAATATTTTCTGAGGTAAAAGTCTATTTGACTTAAAATTACTGTGCTGAGCTCAGAAACGACATACATAACAACAACATCACAACATAACAACAGTTATGTTTTGGATGATGTAAAAGCCAAGTAATAATGTAATAAACCAATACAATCATAACATAATGGTAGCAACAACACTGTCATTTTCTGTTCTCTCAAGTTTTTAAAACAGTGCTCATATCTTTTACCATGTCATGCTGACAGGATAATAGCAACACTAGACTGACAACTACAACAGTAACAGTTTTCTTGGCTGAGGGAGGCCTGGGGTGCCTCCACAGCTCCACAGGACTGTCTGGGGCACTCCAGCCCTGCCATGGAGGCCAGGTCTCCTCCAGCAGCACAGCCTGGACGTTTCCGTAAGCACCTGCATGTGTGAGGGATGCACTGAAAAGGGATAAATGTAAGCCTGTTTCTGTGAAGTACACATTTACAGGCTTTGCTGAAAAGGCCCTAAACCAGGACTTCCCTCTTTTTAAAATCATCCCCTTACAATTAACAGATGTGAAGACAAACTTGGTGTACATGACTTAATTTTTTCCCTTTGAATCACCTGGTTATATCCAGTTTCTGCAGCAACCGTGTTTACATTGGTGAGGTTTTTTTTCATTTCCCTCTTTTATAATGCAAAGCAGACGCGGTGCGTCTGATTTACCTCAGGAGGCGGGGGAGAGGAAGGGTGCTGCCGGCTCCTCCGCGGAATGCACTGAGGGGAGTGGAAGGGGCGCTGCGGTCGGAGTTATTTATTTTGTTAATATCTTCGGACCCCAAGGGCCCCATTCTCGTCCTCCCTGGCTGCTCTCCAGGCCGAGGCTGTCAGCCAGGGAGAGGATAATATCTTCAGGCTATGGCCCATTTAAAGTTCTTCCTCAGCTCTCACTGAGCTATTCCTGCAGCTCAGGGGAGGCTGCACCATCCTGGCTTGCCATGGCCACCAGGCCCAGGTGCTCCCAGGGCCTGTCCTCCTGTGCCTGCAGAGCTCAGGAGTCCTCCCTGAGCCAGCTGGTGCAGCTCCTGCTGCCTGAGCAGCCCGAGACCCGGGTGCACCTCAGCACCACTCTGATCTCCTCACCACGGGTCTTTCTGCCCCCTCACAAACAAAATCCCTGGGTCAGCCCTCGATGCCAGAGCCCTGGCCCCTGGCTTGCGGGATATCTGTCAGGGAGCCCTTCCTGCTCTCTGCATTTCCCCTCTTAAGATCCATAAGGAGGTCCAATATTTAATTAAAGTATCATGAAATAACTAGATATTTAATTACCTGATTATGTCAGACAGCCTAGCTTGGCTGAACATACAAATCCATGGAAAAATGTTTAATGTTGGTGTTGAGCTGTTACCCAGAAACTGCAAAGAGGCCAGGTATATGGAAATAGGAGTAATGTCAGGCAGGGTTGGATACACCTGTATTTTTCAGTAGAAGTATCAAAAGGCATTTGAAAACCCACTTAAACACTACCCAGAATTTATCTTGGTTGGTTACTCTGCTGACATAAGGGTACACTACCTAGCACAACATCATTCATTAGTAGGGCTTCATTAATTCAGGCAGAGCTCGATGCTAATGAGGCTATACTGCCTCCAGTGTCTTGACAAGTGAGCCAGCTTTCAGGGGTGCTGCCTGCTGTCATGTCCATGTCTCTAACGGCATTACACCAGGAAAGCACAAGCTAATTATATAAAACACTAGTTACAATTTTCAAACCCTAAAGCAAGTTACAAACAAGGCCATTTTTTGTGAGGAAAAAAAAGTATTTCTGGTTTCTCTCTACCTTAACATTCCTATGGAAGCCTTGAACTATTGGCACAGTGACAAAAATACCCCCACAAAATGCCTTGTATGACACAGCTCAGCTTTGCGGCAGGGAACGGGGCGATCACGGGGGAACACCAACTCTCCAGCCAGCAGCACAAATTGGCACTTTACTGAGGTCATGGCTCAATCAGACAGCAAGTCTGGTTTCAAACACCTAGTCTGGACCACAAACAAAACACTTCTGGGCAGGTGAAACAAATGCCTGCACCGGTTCAGACTGACTGCAGGAGTTCCACATTTGTTCCAGCTGACACTGGAAAACACCTTTCCCCTAGCAGGCTGTGTGCTTGATTATTGCCTGTTCTTATGCAGCTGGCATAAAATCATCAAGGCAGCGTAACCAGCACACTGTCTGCTTTACCTAAATAGACTACAGGAATAAGTTGTGTACCCATATAGTATCCTGGTTGAATTAATACTGTGGGGTGTTATACAGTACCAGTATTAAAAACAGTAAAATCATAACCTGGAAAAACACTTCCTGCTGCAGTGGCAGGCTGTGAAGTGGACAGTTTGTCCTTCAGTAAGTCTCCTGGTTCTCCACTAGCTAGATGCGGCCAGGTGGTCCTTGATCAAAGGCCTTTACAATGTATTAAATGCAATCTGATCCAGGGCAGCCCTGCAATATATAGCACTCCTACAAACATCCTCTTATATTACTACCATCCTAACTGCAGTGTCCAGGCAACAAAGTACGGATTTCATACCAAGTTCCACGATAAAGTGTAATCTGACTCTCCTGGCTCCTCTACTCCCACCAGTAAAGCTACTTAGACATCAATTTAGCAGGGAACATGGAA